GATAACGACAAAGATGGGACGATTCAAGTTGAAATAGACTCCGGAAGCAGCTGTCTTGTCTTTGCCGCTGACACTTTTTATCCTAGATCGATAAACATATACTTTTTGGCTATATCTTCCGGGTGTTATACATGTAGTCATGGATGGATTCAGGTTACAATTACCCTTTTAGACGCGAATACAGCTACAGTTTAGAGGGGGAGGAGTGGCATTTTGTTGTCGTGTACTCGTTGGCAGCCATGTTGTTGTAATTAATCATCTCATAAAGGACACATGGGGGCGCTGTTTCACAATCAGATCAGAGTGGCGCTGTTCACAATTTTGCGTGGTTTGCAGTCTGCTTTATAGACGTACAAGAATTTTTTTTTTTGTCAGAAATAGCAGGTCCCCTGGCACCTTTTTTACAAGCACTGGTTGAATGTCTATATCTGCAACTGTGTTCCAGAAATGATAGTTGGGTTGAATATCTGCAATAATGCACCAAATATGATATTTATGCATTTTAATGGAGCCATATGACCATATATATTATTAAATGTTGATCAGATCTTGTGTGCAAGACACTAGTAACCACAATATCCCCCACCTGCAGGGTTAGGGGTGTAAAAAGACAGCATCAGCGGGTCTACCATTCAAAATCATTTGAGGTGGCTGTAAGAGTAAAACAAATGCAATTTCTGCAGTGTCTTGTCTGCACATTTTTATTTTTCTTAACACCACTCTTTAATAGTTCCCAATTTTTATATTTATTCAATACCTTCCAATCACCCCAAAAAAATACCCAATACCCAACCCAGTTTATACTTTTTGATCTGTGCAATAGTCAATTTAGTCTCCATCTTTGTTATACAAGACCCATATATTTCATGCATGCGTGGCGAGACATCTATTGCCATTTAAGTGTGCTGCAAAAGAAACATTTTCAAAGTGTTTTGGCAACGGAAAGGGATTTGAACCCACATCAACCACAGCAGGTATAGCCTGTAACAACTGAGAAAAGTGGATTTCCAATGGAGCTAGTTTCTGGGAAAGAACTGGGAAAGGACCATGTCAATGTCAAGTGTTATGCAATGAATTATTCATGAGCAAATGACAATATTGCACAATACTGTAAAATCTGTATTAAAAGCCGCGACTTTTATTGAAATGGTACAATGCAACAGAGGGGAGCGGCTTCTATTAGAGCATATACACATATGAGAAAAGATGAATTTTTGGTTCCAAATTGTTCAAAAAGAATGGGTGCGACTTCTACTAGGGATGCGGCTTCTAATACAGATTTTAAGGTACTTCTATGTAAATTAACATACATTCAGCACTGTGGAGTGGCAATGCAACAGATTGGAATACAAGACAGAAATGCTCACTAAAAGTGTAAGTTTACAGGTATATACCCACAGTCTTTTATCACATTCTTAAATGTAAAAAGGTATTTGTCAGATGTGTGACTTATCTCATGGACCTGTTGGCATTTTTCGTCATAAACTCCGGCTTGTGAAAAACAGAAGTGAATCTACAGTATAATTCACCATTGTTTCAAACATGGACTAAAAACACAACAAACGCAGATGTTTTTATAAAATTCCGATTAAGTTTATTGATATCTTACGACCATTACAGAAGGTGAGTGTGCATTGGCTGCATTTTGACTGACTGCCCCATGTGAAATGAACAATTTAGAAACACTGAAAAAATAGAAACATCTTGTGTACTTTCCTAACCAAACATTTTAGAGTACTCGATTTTTCCTATTTTATGCCAAAGCAAAATTGGTATATAGATATGTAAGATGACCAGTGTTTCCAAGAATATATACAGATGAAATCACAAAAATCTTGAAAAGACGTGTATCCTGAATGCTTATCACGTATTGTTTGCCAACATACCGGTATGACCAAAATTTCATTGAAATACATTTGAATTATTGATCTAAAATCAAAGAATTGACTGTCAAATTCAAATAACCCGAGTTGTCTCCAATTTTAAAACTTCATTTTGTTGACTAAAAATCAGTTAGTTAAAATATAAGAATTTTTATGGTAAAAAATCACATCTGTGTTACCTAAATTGAGCTCTGCTGAACTCAGTAGAAATGATAACGAACAGAACATGGTCACTTTTAGTTGTATTCTCCAATACATTTTGTAGACAAGCAATAGTTTCATAGTCCTAAATGTAATGATTCACAAGATATGAAATAACGTGCATTTTCTTTTTGACTTTTTTCGTAAATATTTTCATATTTTGTCAGAACCCCTCCCCCCTCCCAAAAAAAACAAGCTGTGGAACTTGGCAATGTTTGAAAATTTAGGCACAGCAGTCACCAATTGTATTTGGGATAAAACCGGAATACATACTAGATTTCTGTCTAAAACAACACATTTATCAGTGGTTAAATATTCAACAGAATAATTTTTTTTCTTTTTCAAATATACTACAAAAGTCCTTGACGTTTCAAATCTTCATAGGTTTTCTTATTAACAACATTTCCACTGGAATCTTCATATTCCTCCTGAAATAAAAACAAAATTATTTTTATTATGGGGGGTATTTTGTAGCTAGGGCACTTCCAGTCAAACAACAGTAATTCCCTACTCTGTTATTTGGTTCCAGCTATTGCCATTTCTGATCAAGTTTAGGCAAAGTATTTTAGAAGCAGTACAAATCATAGCAAAGCCAAATACTTCACAGTTGTACATGTACAAAAAAAATTCATCAGACTGAAGATGCATGTTATCCACTCAGAGCAACAGGCTCATTAAGGTAGAAGTCTATCGGTACTCATGTTTGAAAAAATTGGTCATAAATCACATGACAATGTTCATTGGTTTATTGTGTACAATCATTAAGTTACTGTCCCATGGCACCATGAAATAGCATTCTTTTGTGTGTTACATATTTTGAGAAACTTGTCCTAATATTTTCCAAAAATCGCTATTTCTAGAACAATTCCATAGAGCATAATGTCGAGAAAAATTCACATTTTTTGGCACTTTTTAAAACCAAGACTTTTGAAATAATTGAGGAAAACATAAAGTACCCCATCATTCATGATATATAATTATTTCAGCCTATGTCACCAGACTACAATATGAGATATGCCATATACTATGGTAAAAGCGTTGTAATACTGTAAAAAATGGCCACTATCAACTAAAATTCAACCATCATTTTCTCGAAAATCAAGCTGGTGAACCCCAAATTTTTTTCAACTCAATATTTTTATATTGCCCTGAAGTACAATTTATTGGATTTAATGAATATATTCTGGGTATTTTTTATTTATGAGGAGGCTTCTACCTTAACAGACTCTGAAACTATAAAGTTGTATTGAGAAGAATACATCAGTTGTCCCATAAAAACAGCTACTCTTCAAGAGAAGAATAACTGGATCTGTTATGTGCACTAAAACAGTACACTAAACCAACAGCTTTATGCCACCTCCAAAACAATGCCATTCTGGCAAATACAAATAAGGTAATCCTGGCAAGTGGGCAAAATGTACTCTTTTTTTTTTTTTCACTGCTGAGTGTCCAGCCAACCACATTCTCTCTGATGTTGGGAGGCCATACTGACCATATCGCCACACATCAGAAATCCTACAGCATTGAATTGAGTCAGCTATATGAAACAGATGAGATAGTTCATATGGTGTTATGAAATACCATATACAATTGGTACCAATCAATAAATTGATGTAATATCACTTGCATAGTATTATTTTCACGATTTGAAATCAGTTATTACCTCAGTGTCTGGCTGCCATCTTTCTGTATGCTTATTAGTCTTCAGTTTCTGCCACACTACAATAAAGGAAAATTCAAATCAATATAATGTAATAGACCATTTTCCGTACACTGCGAGAATCACGCGTTATGCGTGAAATCGAACGTAAAAACAAGACAAACAAAGGTCATAGCGTCGTAGTCGCGTCAAACATCGCGTGGGATTCGACAAACGCGAAAGTATTTCGGGGACATTTCCATGCTTAATAATGTGCTGTCCACATTTGATGATAGGCAATTTCGATTAAGTGAGGGTATTCGGAAGCAATATTCCTCTGTCGAAGATCGGCCGGTCAATGTAAGCTGCAAAATAAAGAAATTCTAGTTCAAAACCAAATCGTTCTATTTTTGCGGCAGACGTTCGACGCGCGTCTTTCATGCATCTCGCGAGATCTCGCAATTGTTCGGAAAATCACCTATTACACATTGAGAAATTTGTCCAGCACACTTCCTTGACAAACCTTGGGAGTGATCCTCCACTCATCTCGTCTAAATCAAGATCAAATTATTTGTATTTCTTGGCAACAAAGCTCTAGTTTTTGCGATTAAATAATTGCATCCATGACAACAACATTTTGTGAAAGTCACTGTGACATCACCATTGCTACAATATTTTTGGATTTTCTGGTTCTACAAAAGTTTGCCTCTCGCAAAATTGAAGCAGTTCAAATATTTTCATGTATGTAATGAAGTTCTTTGTTTGTATTCCTAAAACACTCTAGTTGGGAAATCTGAAAAAATAACACATTCTATTTGAATGTTCATTTACATTACAATTTGCCAGTGTTGGAACAGTTCAAATGGCACATGTTAAAGATGACTGCCACATTTATAATCAATCAGTAGGTATCAGTTTCAAGACCTTTAAGTAGAATTAAAGATTATATAATTCATTCATTATAGCTTTATACCATTTCGATAACAAGCAGCCTGTCGGCTGAGATAACTCCGCTGTTAGCAATGTACATTTCAATTAAGAACTGAAGATATCATTAGAAAATGAACAATATGTAGACTTGCTGTTTTCAACAAGAATTAAAAAACATCACTTTTCACCAAAAATGACAAAAATAATCATCAAAATTAGATAATTGAAGATATCACCTGGAAAGTAACAAATCTGAAAAAGGTCCACATGTAGTACCCTATATATGTAATATAAAAGCAATCGGACTTGTGGTTTTTAACAAGTAGTCGAAAATTTCACTTTTTACCAAAAATGACAAAAATATTCACCAAAATTAGAGAACTAAAGATATCATTACAAAACGAACAAATCTGAGAGAGGTCTACCCAAGGTACATATACACCAAGTATCAAAGCATTCAGGCTTATAGTTTTCAAGAAGAAGTCAAAAAAGTAAAACATGGACACGGATGACGACGGACAATCACTCATATGATAAGCTCCGCTCGACAAAGTCGACAGCGGAGATAAAAACAAACAAAAATGAAGTCATCGGATGATTTTTTCCTGAATAAAAAGAGTCTGAAAGTGGTCAAAATATGCATTTTTACACTGTTTTCTATGTCCCAAATATTTGCTTGTAAATTATTATTTATACAAATCCTAATATTTTTAAAACATTTCAAAATATTAACATATAATTTCAGTCAGTTTCCAGGGTGATAAATAGTTTCCATTATATACAAAAGGAAGTTATCTCCCATAATGCATTGCAAAGTAGTGAAAATTTGAATTGAATTCAGCTCAAACTGCTTAAAATAAAATCTTTAGTAAATATTTAGATTTATCGTATTAAATATTCATAAGCTCATTTCTAGTAGTAGTGCATAAACACCAAAAAATACAATGGCTGCATACCGAATCTTTAAAATATTACTTTTTTTTAGTGTCTTTTAATTACAGTTAGGTACTTATCTTAATTAAAAACTAGCGTGAGTTTTCCCATTAATACCCCAGACCATTCGTCCCGGTGTTATCGCTATCGCCACACGAGACTCCAGCTTGTCTCCTATACAATTTTCCTTCCGCCCACTTAATTTTAATATTCATATGACCTTTGCACTGACATCGATAGCCAATCGCATTCGACCGCGGACGTCACTCTAAATAAACAACTGAATAAATTAATATACCATATTTGGAAGATAGCGGGTAAATTCAACGTTGTTGGTGTGTTCCTCCGGGTTCCGAAGTCGCACGAAACGAGTTCATGTTCCGTTATCTTTCGCAAGTAAAACAGGTCGATATGTATTAAACATGGCATTTGTTTTCTTGTTTTAACCCCCTTATTACGCAAGCTTCCGTCGAAGTGGTGTTTTTTTCGACGATTTGTGGCATGTTGCAAAACGAACGAAACATTGCGGCATTCTTAGCGGTGGATAAGGGATCGACTATGTCGTCACATTTATGTCTCGTTTGAAAGAGAATAAACAACCGCTCAGAAAAATATGTTGCTAATATTTAAGTGCGGTGCCTTGAAATCGCCTGCCCGACGTCCAAATTTCAAAAGGATGTTCGATTTGCAATGACGACCGTTCATATGTACTAGGCGACGTTACTAATTACTACTAGGGTC